AAAAAATTTCTTCCTTCGAACATATTTCCATATAAAAATGCCGCCGTCAACTCGCATTTCTAAATGCCGTTGCTTGTTTGTTCATATGCTTGCTTATATTTTGTATGTATACCATAGCGTCACTTTATCTATGCATGTGGTAGTATTTTGTTAGTCCATGATACTAAACAACGATCCAACAACGATGTGAGTACGATGTTCATAGTGAGTGAAACATTACAAAAATAATAATTTAAAAAATAATTTAAAAAATTAAAATTAAATTAAAATTAAATTAGAAAATTAAAATTAAATTAAAAAATTAAATTTAAATTAAAAAATTAAATTTAAATTAAAAAATTAAAATTAAATTAAAAAATTAAATTTAAATTAAAAAATTAAATTTAAATTAAAAAATTAAAATTAAATTAGAAAATTAAAATTAAATTAAAAAATTAAAATTAAATTAAAAAATTAAATTTAAATTAAAAAATTAAATTGAAATTAAATTAAAAAATTAAATTTGAATTAAATTAAAAAATTAAAAAATTCTTAATTTTTTCCGATTTAATAACATATATATTTTTTTTTAACAAATTTACGTTTATTTTCCAAAAAATCAAAAAATTATGTTTTCATTTTTCTTTTAAAATGTGAATTTTTATTGAAAATTATGTAATTTATTATTTATTTCATTTTATTTTTCAAAAAATAAATAAAATCATAAAATCGATTTTTATCTTCTAAAATTTTTCCAAAATGTTCATTAAAAGTCCCTATAAATTTCATAATATTTTTCTTTACGTTTATTCATTTCTTTATTTTTGATTTTAATATTTTCTTTTAATTTTCTCTATTTTTATTAAAATTTTTCTATTTAATTTATTTTTCAATTTCATTTTTTTCTTCAAACTCCTACAAATTTTCATTTTATTTTCCTTATTCTATAATTTTATTTCAACTACTTACTATGTGTGTGTATGTGTGTGCTTGGCTGCCGGGGTATTACTATGTGTGTGTATGTTTGTGTTTGGTGGTTATTTTCTGTGAGTCACACTGATCAACAGGAATAACTGTACTATTCTTCTTCTTCTTCTTCGTTTTAAATGTCCCCTTTTTTCATTGTTGTCGAGCAGCATTCCAGCCAATTCCAAAACTTCAGCAGCCAAATATTCCATAACGGCGGCTAAATATACTGGAGCACCGGCACCAACACGTTCAGCATAGTTGCCTTTGCGCAACAAACGATGAATACGACCGACGGGGAATTGAAGACCAGCACGATTGGAACGGGACTTTGCCTTTCCCTTAACTTTGCCACCTTTACCACGACCAGACATTTTCACTTTATTTTATTTTTAAACACTTCACTTAGCACTGAAAAACACAGAATGATAAAAATTTCAACAACTACCCGTAGTATTTATACTTTTCTCGCACACACATTACTATATTTTAAACCATATTTTTAACGAATATCATAAATAAATTATATTATCAAACAACATGTCTTTTTTCATTACATATATTTTTTTACAAGCATTTTTTCTTCAGTACAGCAAAGGCAAATGGCAAATATGAAGTTAAGAGATTTTTTGGCGGGAAAAAAATTAGTGATGGAATTCTTTCCAAAGAAAAATATTTTTAAAATGGTAATTATAAATTTTTGATGAAAATTTAATAAAATTCAAAAATTTTAGAAAATATTAAAATATTTAGTTTTTGTAACGTTAAAGGGGCGATTTGCAAATTTTGAAGAAAATTTACGAAATTCAAAAATTAAGCAGAAAATATTAAAATATTTTTACCATTAGGTATTTGCAAATTATAAAACTTTATGACCTGGATTAAAAAAAATAATCCATTTGTGGCGTCATTTTCTGGAATGTCCATAAATAAACAGGCACACTTTTACCTAATACTCTAATTAGCAAATTCTTTTTTTTTCTCCTATCGCCGGCAGCCTTTTTAGGGGCGACCTTCTTTTTCTTTTCACCAGCGGCGGGAGCCTTCTTTTTCTTTTCAGCAGTCTTTGCTTTAGGTTCCTTGGAAGCCGAAGCGGACAATTTGAATGAACCAGAAGCACCCTTACCTTTAGTTTGGATCAATTTTCCACTGGCAACAGCACTCTTCAAGTATTTCTTGATGAAGGGGGCCAATTTTTGGGCATCTACTTTGTAGGTGCTGGCCAAATATTTTTTGATGGCTGGCAATGAAGAACCTCCACGTTCCTTCAATGTTTTGATGGCAGCATCTACCATTTGCTGGGTTGGTGGATGAGTTGGAGCGGCTGATGGTTTCTTTGCGTGTTTAATTTTTTACAAAAGTTTTCACAGAAATTTAATTTTTCCCAGGAAGCTTTAAAAATTGCTGAAAAAGATATTTTACATTTTGAAAGTATAGATTTCAGGCTTCATTTTAAAAGATATTTCATGTTATTATCATTACCGGTTAGCGAGTTATAGACGTTTAACTTCAAAGATTATGAATTTGAAATCACAAATTTCTAACTAAATTTGAAAAAAATCCAAAAAATTTTGAAAATTTTCATAAAATTTCTTTTTGATAATATAGCCTGATATGTTTTCTTTAGGATAAATTAAAAATATTTAGAAAATTTGCATTTTCTATGTGAGTTCAATGAAGAAAACTTTTTCTACAAATAAATTTGAAAGCTCAAATCTTATTAACTTTTATAAAAATTTCTTAAAAAACATTTCAGGATTTGTATATTTACACCAAAATAAAACATTATTCATAAAAAGTCATTAATTGTTTGGAAAAGTAAAAAATTCCTTACAATATCATATACCACCAATGGACGAACATTCATCAACAAACGGCAATTTTTTTCAAAATAAACTATTTTGGCAAAAATAAATTAATTATACTTTAATAATATTCTAAAATAATTTATAAATCAGTTATTTATTAATTTTCACAATAATTTTGTCAAATTTTTGCAAAAAAAATTATATTAAAAATAATTTCGTTTTTGCTATTACCTTTCATGGCAGAGCAGAGTACAAAGAAATTTCATGGAATTTTTCGAACGTTACAAAAATATTGTATTCCTATTGATTAAAGTATTTACTATTTTCTATTAATTTTTAGTCAAAATATAAAATTTTAATAATTATTTTACTAAAAAATACTAATTTATAATTTTCTTTAAAAAAATTGGTTTTTGAATAGAGAAATTCTGCCTTTAGAAATCAAAAAATATTTCCCATCAAATTTTTCATAGACAGAGACAAATATAAAATTAGATAGAATTTTTTTTACATGGTAGAAAATTAGCTGGAAAAGAAAAAACATGCACATTTCATTCTTCATTCATGGGGATGTTTGCTGTAAAAAAAAAACAAAAATATTGAGGGGAAATTTTTTTCGCGCCAAAAATAACATATTGCATTAATACATAAGAGAATTTTTTTTTTTGGAAGGGGAAAAATGGAGGGAAGCATTTTCCCGCCAATTACGAAAAAGGTGAATAGAAAACAATTAAACAAACAATGTGAAAAAAATTCATCATGTGACAATACAAACGAAAAATTTTAAATAGAAACAAAGAAAAAAAATAAAATAATTTAAATAATAAATCTGAATAATTAAAATTTTAACCAGAATTAAAAAAAATTATTTCTAACGAAATAAACATTAAAATGAAAAAAAAAAAATTTAAATAGAAAATCATTTTACGAAAATGTTGAGAAAATGTATGAAAAATTATTTTTAATGAAAAGAAAAGCGAAAAAAATTTATAATTTCAAATAAAAAAAAATAAATGTTTGGAAACTTTACTCAAAATAAAAAAAAAAATTAAAAAAATCCTGTATTCCTATCAGCCTCAAAATAAATTAAAACAACGTAAAAATATTTTTATTTAATAAAAATTGTAATAATAATAAATAATTTGTTAAAAATTGAATCTCTTTTTTGATATATTTTGTGGTCCTGAAAAGGACCGATTGTATTCCTATCAGCCTCAAAATAAATTAAAACAACGTAAAAATATTTTTATTTAATAAAAATTGTAATAATAATAAATAATTTGTTAAAAATTGAATCTCTTTTTGATATATTTTGTGGTCCTGAAAAGGACCGATTGTTTTGTTGTTGTAAAAAAATGAGTTTTTAAAACGTCAAGAATTTAAGCACGTTCTCCACGAATACGTCTGGCCAATTGGATATCTTTAGGCATGATGGTGACACGCTTAGCATGGATGGCGCACAAATTAGTATCTTCGAAAAGACCGACCAAGTAGGCTTCACTGGCTTCTTGCAAGGCCATAACAGCAGAGCTCTGGAAACGCAAATCAGTTTTGAAATCTTGAGCAATTTCACGAACCAAACGCTGGAAGGGCAATTTGCGGATCAACAATTCAGTACTCTTCTGGTAACGACGGATTTCACGCAAAGCGACTGTACCGGGACGGAAACGATGAGGCTTCTTAACGCCGCCGGTGGCTGGTGCGCTCTTACGAGCGGCTTTAGTGGCCAATTGCTTACGAGGAGCCTTGCCACCAGTCGATTTACGGGCAGTTTGCTTAGTACGAGCCATTTTTCACTTTAATTTTTTCACTTCACTAGGTATGCACACAAACACTGTTAACACTGTAATAACTCGGAAACCGCGCCAGAAACGAGTATTTATAGAAAAATTTTGTGTTAGCATCAACGATTAAGGGTGAGTGTTCGTAAATACAAATATATGTCTACTAAATGGGCGCACACACGCACAAATATAAAAAAAAAATCAATACGTTCTCATTTCAAGAAAATTCATTACAAAAATAAAATTATTTTTAATAAATTCTACAATTTTTTTTATTTATTTTTGAAAATATTCGTAAAAAATTTGTTTAATTTTTTTTTATAAATCGAAAAATTTTTATTTTTTATTTTATTTTATTTTATTTATTTTTTTTTATTCAATTAAATAAAATTGACTTCATCATTTTCATTACAATCTTATTTAATTTCGCTAAATTTCTATCAAAAAACAAAAAATTTCTTCCTGTTATAATTTTTTCTAAACAAATTTAAATTTATTTTCCAAAAAATCCAAAATAATATTTTCATTTTTCTGTTAAAATATCAAATTTTATATTTCAAAAGAAAAAAAATTCAAAAATTTTCATTAAAAGTCCATATAAATTTCATTTTTATTTATTTTTTTGATTTTAATATTTTTTTCATAATTTCTCTAATTTTATTAAAATATTTCTATATAATTTATTTTTCAATTCCATATTTTTCTTCAAACAATGTAAAAAAATTCTTAATTTTTTCCGATTTAATAACATATATATTTTTTTTTAACAAATTTACGTTTATTTTCCAAAAAATCAAAAAATTATGTTTTCATTTTTCTTTTAAAATGTGAATTTTTATTGAAAATTATGTAATTTATTATTTATTTCATTTTATTTTTCAAAAAATAAATAAAATCATAAAATCGATTTTTATCTTCTAAAATTTTTCCAAAATGTTCATTAAAAGTCCCTATAAATTTCATAATATTTTTCATTTCTTTATTTTTGATTTTAATATTTTCTTTTAATTTTCTCTATTTTTATTAAAATTTTTCTATTTAATTTATTTTTCAATTTCATTTTTTTCTTCAAACTCCTACAAATTTTCATTTTATTTTCACGGTAGACGATTTCTTACAATAGAATTACTAAGTCTTTTTGCGTTGAGAAGTGAAAAGAAGGCTGCGCGAAAAAAGCTCATTCATTTTGTTAAAAAGCTTTTATTTGTTTTATGGTTCTTGTCTTGAGTAATTTCGGTTCATGTCTCGACTAAATTCACCAGGTTTGCTTAGATAAACTCACCACAACACGCTGTGCTTTGTGTCGAAACAGATTTCCGTTATAAACTTAGTGAGTGTTTCATTGCCTCTTACAAATATTTTGACAAACCCACCACGGTAATTGACTTTGATACTGAGTTGTACACCTTTATTCATTTGCTTCATTACGGCCCGGATCCGGAAAAATTGTATTAACGCCGTGTGGTGGAAGAGAAACTATATTCCTTTATGAAATTGGTGGTTGTCTACGATTTCAGCTTTAACGTATTGGAATTTTCACCACATGTTAGGACGATCTTGAAATATTCATTTATTTGCTGCCTAGCAATTAGGCTTTTATTCACAGATATAGTTCAAAGCTTTAAATAACGAGCTCGACATTATCTAGTTATTACATATTCACCATATTGGAGCCTGTCTTGGATTAAAGCTTTCCACCTGTTCAAAGTTATCGCGTGCATGTGGTGGTTATCTTGGGAGTATTTGGTGTCATTTGATTTACGTCATAGATGGCGTTCGTCTGAAAACAGTTATAAATATCCAACAACAACGAGGAGTAACAACTGGATGTAATGCCAAATACCATATGGGCAATAAACATAACTATATAATAACAAATTATAAGTCTTATCCTTTTTTTATTCTCATAAAAGTATATATTTAGTATTAGTAAATTTGAAATTCAAAATTAATATTGTGTACCATTAGATGAGATGAATAAACTATTTTACTTGGCTTCAAATAATAAACAAACTTTTTAATATACAACACTATGGCTAAACGACACTATGCCTAAGAAGTGAAAGAGGTTTTATAATCGACAGTTAACAGAATGTCTTTGTACTCGATGTGTGACAAACCCCTAAACGTATTCAATTCATTCTTATACCCTAGAATTTTTTTGTGTGGGCCCAAAGGTTTGTAACGACAGGTAATAGACCAAGACGTTTGTGTTAAAAATTACAAAAATTAGTATGCATATTATGTTGTTCACTTCGGGACATGATTCCCAAAAGTTGACGGTGTATGAATGAGTGATGCTTGACCTTTAATCTGATATCCATGCTTCTGATCTAAGAGAATATCGTAAGATTTCTTTTCAGGGTTGGGATTTAGATATAAGATCGTCAATTATTTTGTAAAAATTACATTTAGTTTACATGATCAATTTATTTGCTTAAAGCGTGTGCATAAACCATAATACTTTAACAAGCTGTTTGTACTGTTGTGACGATAATTATCTAATATTCTCTTATTATACCCTTTACCACACTGTGGTACAAACGAGATAGACCCATGGTTCCTTTTGAGAATACAATACATACATGTATGTCCGTCTGTGCGTCCGCCTGTCTGTCGCATTTATTATCCGAATGAAATGAAATTTGGCACAGATCATTTATTTGCCCCAAAGACAAACCCTATTGAAATTGGTGAAAATCGGTTCAGATTTAGATATACATAATGTTGTCCCATTGTATT